GACACACGGAACAGTATTGATGTACTTGTACAAGTGACAGAAAAGTACCATCAGTTAACCTATCCTGCCTTATGTTCCTAACACGTACTGGGGGAACATAGCCGGTGTTGACACAGGAACACACTTGGTTACAACAATAGTAAACTACAGAGTGTCCCTTACAATGAATCGTTGCCAAAGGGTTTTATGGGTTGGAATAATTAAAGAAAATGAGAGCGTCAACCTAACACTAAGCCTATCCATTGTGTTTATTGGGGTTAGTAATCATTGTCCAGTTAGTAGGGCCGCACAATAGTTTGCTGTCGCGCCGCGTGTGCGGCATGCTGGCGGCGGAAGCATTAAGGCACGCCGACCACTACGCAGGATTTCATTCCTACCTGACCTGACCCACGTTTCTGTAGAACCTCGACGCGGGCACTCCGGCTCCGCGCTATCTCCTAACCTGATGTATTTTGAAATTAATGCGGCGTCCTAATAGTTCATCTGATTAGTTAGTCCTCTTACGGCCAACAGACTATTGTGCGAACTTTCTAACCTGGCAATGCATGTTAATCCTAGCGAACACTATGAATAGACTTCATAGGAGGTTTGCGCACAATACAGTTGCGTAGGGCACGCTAACCTATCCTCTGTTCCCTGTGTGGGGTTGCATATTGCGTCCTTGTCCATACGCAAAATCAAGACACGTAATTTCTTCCAGTATCACAATTACGAAAAATGTACTTCGATACAGTGGAAGCATAGAAGAGGATTTTGGGACTAAAACCTGCTGCAGCAAATTGATGTGAAACTGCATGCTACAGACACTTCTCAGCTAGCAAAGGGGCTGCATTTTGAAGGGCTGTTAGTAACTGTAAAAGTTCACAAGTCTTTATCTTATAGCCCATTACGTGGCAGCATACTGTATTTAATAAAAAACTACTGTAGGAAACACCACGGCAACAAAAATATCGGCGCTTAAGTGCATTCAGCTACATGAATCCGAAGAAAAGGAAAAAGGCGTTTCAAATAATGCAGCCACTAGGGTATCGAAAACACTGACCTCATAACCTCCCTCCCAAGTACAAAGGTATCTGAGCTTGTTGAAAGACAAATAAGAAAATAGCAAATACAAGTGGCACACTAGCCCGCAACCACCTAACAATCACAGTTTTTACACCCCAAGGAGAGGGTTGGCTATCTTAAAAGAAAAGGTTTTGTCAACAAGATCCCGTGTGTCAGTTGCGATGCAGTTTATTG